CATACATGCTGACACACTCATGGTTACATTCACACTCATGCTCACATATTCATGGTCACATACACATGCTTACACTCAATACACATTCGTGGTCATACATTTACACACCTGCTCACACATTTCACACACAAGTTCACATGCTTGCACATGTACACTCATGCTCACACATACATGCATGCTCATGGTCACATGCACATGCTTACATTTATGTGCACACACGCACTCATGATCACATACTTATACACACGCTCATATGCTCATATATGCTTACACCCTCATACATGCTCTCACATGCTCACACACTCATACGCATGCTTACAACACACGTGCTCACACATGATTTCACACATGCTGACATTCATGCTCACACATGCTCATGCTTGCACACAACCTGGCATTCATACAACATGCTCACATGCTCTCACATGCTCACACATTCATACACACACACAGTCACATGTTCACTTCCACACATGCTCACACTCTCACACTTGCACACTCACACGCTCCCCTCCCTGTCTGCTGGGCCTTCTTCCCCCAGCCCGCGGCTGCCCCCAACTCATTTCTGGGCTCGCTCGGAGGGGACTAGACAAGCGTGTGAGGGGGTCCGTGTGAACAGGAAGCTCACGTAAGCGCTGCCAGCCGTTCAGGACACCGGGAGTGATGCTCTGCACACCACTCGCCTGTCCCATTCCCCCGAGACTGGGCTCACAGCGAGCTGGGGCCTGCGGTTTTGCCTCGGAGTTCTTGATCCTGGCAGCCGATCCTCGGCCCTGCAGGCGCGTGTGGTCGTGCGCAAGCACCACGCGTCCTGGCGGTGCCCAAAGGGTCCATCCAGGTCCGACCTTCCTGCCCTCGTGTGCCCCGTGCCCCCACTCCCAGGGGAGCATGTGGGTGGCATTTCCAGCCTCCCCACTGCTCAGGCCTGACGCTGGCCGACCCTTGCTGGTTCTGGGCTGGCAGCCCGGCGGGTGGCCCCATTCTCCGCCCTGCACGCCCGCAGCAGAGGGAGAGCCCTGACCGGTGGCGGCCCGACCCTGCTAAAGTGCTTTGGTGCTTCCCCGTGGCCAGGATCCAGATCACAGTCCCGGCGTGGCCTGTGAGGCCAGCGCGTGCCGGCACGGAGCAGCTCCGGGACAATTGCCGAGCGAACGTGTGTGGCGCCTCAAGCTTGCCCGCGGCCACTTCTCCCTCCCTCCTGTAGTCGTTGTCCTGCCCCCACCTCTGCTGTCCGTGCTGCCCCTCAGCCCCAACAAACATCAACACAGCTTAAATTCCATGTCCTCAGGGGCGTTACCGGATGTACTGCCACCCTGCACCGTAAAATCCGCCTGCACAGCCCATTCAGCTTCTGCGCTTCCCCACCAGGACACGGGGGCAGGCTGGGCTCTTTTCTCTCCCCCATCCCAGACTGCGGCATGTTCATTCATTCATTCAGCACAGGCCTGCTGAGCGCCCGCCGGGTGCCAGGCGGGGCACAGGGCTGCCGTGGTGGTGGGCCTGGGCCAGATCCTGTCCTGCAGGAGCTGTGTGTCCAGCAGGGAGGCAGGTGTTGGAGTCACCACCCAGAGAGCCGTAAGTGTGCACTGAGACAGGAGCCGCACGGGAGGAGCTCCTGCTGGGAGGGCACCTGGGGGGTGTCCCCTGGGGCTCCCTGGAGGAAGAGGGGAGCAGGAGGCGACCCAGCCACCTCTTCCTCGTCACTCCCCAAGACTCCAGCGCCTGTAGGGCTGACACGAGGAAGCGGGCAGCACGTTGTGACTCGTGGTGAGCGTGACCTCGAGCCCAGGGCTGGACGGGGTGGGAGGCACGACATGGGTGGTCAGCCGTCCTGCTTCCTGCAGCCCGCCCTGCTCCCAGGCTGCGTGTTGAACCGCGACATCCTGGAGGAAGCACGGAACCCAACGGGGCCAAGGCCGACTCCTTGGCACGTCCCTTTGAGTTCCTCGTGTCCCGTGCGTTTCTTCATTCCTGATCCCCTGCCCCGCCCTCCTAGGGTTGGGCACCAGGAGGGGTGCTCGGGACGGCGGCGTGTGAGGTCTGCGTACCCCAAGCACGGCCCGTCTCCCATGAGGACGTGAGCCCCCGGAGGGCAGGACTCGTGTGCTGCTCACTGACACGGACCTGCTCGTGGCTACTCAGACATTTGTGCAGCGGCGGCTGGTGTGGTGACACACACAGAGGGGCCCTGGGCTCCGGGGAACTTTGTATTCTCGCCCACAGCACAAACTCGCTGCTTAAACACCAGCGTGTCGCAGCTCAGTATTTGCCTTTGACAAACACGGCAGGGCTGGGGAGGACGTTGGAGGGAAGTTTCACTGGCGAGCGGTCGTTTGGTAGATTCATTAACCGAGGACACCGAGGCCAGAGCAGGTCTCGCCCTGCCCACGAGTGTGGCCCCAGGACAGGCTGCCCTGTGCGCTTAAAGAACAAGAGAGGGGGAGAGGGAGGCGGGAGAGAGAGAACAAGCGCAAAAGAAAGCTCACGCCTTCTTTTTAAATGTTCTCTTTTAGTTGACCCGAATAAGCGTTTTCTTAGTAGCCCACCCTCTCCTCCCCTGTCCTCTGCCTGACCCCTCAGGAGGACAGCGTCTGCATGAACTTGCAGCGGTCCTACTAGGTGCGAGAGGCTTGAAAAGGGCCGCGCAGGCTGAGCCTCTCGGGGCTCCCCGAGGGGAGATGCCACGAATTTCGCGGAGCCAGGAGCGTGGCGTGGCAGTGGTCTCTGTGGGTCAGGTGGGGTCAAGACAGGCTTGCTGGGGTTGGTGCTGCCAGCACTGGGCTTTAAGTGCGTGGGGAATGTCAGCGAGCAGGGCGGGGAGGAGGGCGGGCAGGGCCAGGACGTGGACATGGGCGGCCAGGAGCCCGGCGCCTCCTGCTCCGGGGTGTGGGGGCTCTCGGGCTAAGCATGAATGGAATTCTTGTAGCCTACTTTGCAGACTAATCAATAGTCTGTGACATTAAAATGTTTGAGCACGGCAGGCCATTTTCTGCTTCAAACATCCTACAACCTGCTGGGATCAGGGCACCACGGCCGGTCGATGGCACCTGCTCCTGCTTCAGTGGGCTCCTGACGGAAGTTTGTTAACCGTGGCCTGACTCGGTGGGCCCGCAGGCCTGCCCCAGGATCCTGAGAGCGTCCGCCCAGGCTCACGGTCCGTTCCGTCTCCTCTTCGCCCCTTCGGCGGGAGACTTGGGGGGTTCCTTATTCAGTTCCTTGATATTGGTTTTTCTTTTTTCTCATTCACTTGTCTTTTAATTCTTGGTTTCTGCCTTTTATCTGCAATTGTGCATGTTCTAAAAATCTGATTGTGCTTGTGTTTTAGTGATAGCAACTCAAAGTCACTTTGGTGAGCAGCGTAGACGGTACAAAGGGACACCTTATCCACCCACGGCCACGTCCCACCGACGTGGGCCCGTGGCATTGCACCGGGGCAGACCAGGAGCTGCCCCCGGACATCTCCACGCCCTGCGGCCACCACTGGGGTCCACTCGTTTCACTCACCGGACATTAGTTGCGCCCCGTGAGCGTGGGAAGGCCGCCGCAGGCCACGTGAGACACGCCCGGCCTGGAGCTGGCCGGCATGGCTCCTGCTGGGAGGGCCGAGCGCCCCACTTGGGGGGGTCCCGGCGCACGGCAAAGCCGGCGAGGAAGACCGCGAGGCAGTTGAACTTCGGGAAGTACCACAGTCTCCGCCTGCCCTGGCAACGAAAGGAGCGTGCTCCGCCGGGGTGCTAATGGAACTGCAGATCAGAAGGGAACATTCAGACCTGAGCCCCGGTGTCGTCCGGCCACAGGGCTCCCGAGCAGGAGGCCGCGTCGCATCTCTCTGCCAGCTCCCGGCGGGATCACAGAAGTGACGGCCTTTGCATAAAAGGCCTGGGATTTGCAGAGCCTGGCACAGGCTATGTTTCCAGCTAGATGGGGGAAAAAAATGCCATTTGTGAGAACCTTTGGGTAGACAGGAACAAACCCAGAAAGCACCAAAGCCCTATTTTGAGAGCCCCTCGCCTTGAACGCCGGTGGCGTGGGGAGCGGCCTCGGAGCATGTCAGAGGCGAAAACGAGGTTCAGATTGAGAATGGGGACCTGTGAGTCAGGCTCTCGGCAGACCCGCCTCTTCCCCCACTCACACACGCTCCGTGCCCGGCTCCCTTTTGGCTCACTTGGCCGAACATCAGTGGCACGATGGGGGCAGCTGCCAGGGAAACGGGTTTTGCCCATAATGTGATGGTCATTGACGGGCAGTGGTCTTCCCTCTGCACAGGTAGCCTCTCAGCCGTTCAAAAGAGCAGCCACTGACAGGTGTGGTTTTGCTTTCGTAGGTGCGAGCTGCAGGGGTTTTACTTACATCAGCAGCGTTTGCTTCAGAAACAGGACTCGGTCCGGATGGGGTCCGCCCTGCTCCTCGGGCCCCGAGAGCGGAGTGGCGAGTGCCCGTCCCTGAGCTCTCTGACTTCCCCTCTGCACGAGGAATTTCCTCGAAGGGCGTTTGCCTACTCAGGTCCCCGTGGCTGGCTTCCCCGTCATGCTGTTTCCCGGGAATCAGAGCAGATTCAGGTCAGTGCGTCTCCAGGCAGCTAAACGCTGGGTAAGAGGTGCTGTACCAAAGGTAAGCGGCACGGCTGGGGTCACCTGTCGCCCGTTCGCAGTGGCCAGCAGGTGTGAACTAATGTCACGGACATAACCTGGCTTCTCGGGTGGCAGCGGTGCCCGGCTGGCTCGCTCCCCGCCCCTCCTGTGATTGTCGAGGGAAGCGGCTTCAGTTGTCTTGCCCTAGCTCGAGCCGCCCGCTGCCGCGTCTCTGCGGAGTCCGGGCACGAGACAGAAGCGGGGCTGGAGCCACTATCTGGTCTCCACGCGGGTCTCGGGGCTCCTGGGCGTCCGCAGCAGCTATGGAGGTCGGTGCTTTGTCTCTGATTTTACGACAGAATCGTCTGGAATTTTTAGACTTTCTCTAGCTAATTCAGCCAGAGGCGAAAGGTGGGGATGATTTTTTTCCTTGGATCTCTCAGTTCCGGGGTATATAAACGTTAGCTTTCCAAAAGGTGGGATTATACCAGATCAGGGCGTTGGGGAAAGGTGCTCGCTGCTCGTTCTCTCAGTTTCCGTCTCCTGCAGCTCCAGTCAGCCAGAGCCCAGGCCGGCCACAGAGTTAAAGGGCAGTCCCTCCAGGCCTCACCGCCGATCCTTGCGTCTGACAGTTCCCTGGGACGCACGACACTCACCGAAAGTTGGTTCTGCTCACGATCATGGCTTCTCCTGGGGAAAGGGCACTGATCTTGCTCAAGCACGGGAAGGGAGGCGTGGGGCAGCGTCCAGGAAAAGCACACAGAGTGCAAGCTCCTGTAGTCGCCTCCCCGTGGGCTAAGATTGGCGCCATGTACACAGCGTGGCCAACCAGGGAGCTCCTGGACCTCGGTGTCCGGAGCTCGCTAGGGCTCCACCACGCAGGCACGACTGAGCACCTGGCTCCCCGCGTGGTCAGTCTCAGGCTCCGGGTGGACTGATCCCACGTGGCCCAAAGCTGCCACCCTCAGTCACGTGGTCGGCCTTTCTGGCGTGGCCGGCCCCACCGTAATCACATCACTGCACCTGCGGGCAAACAGTGACACTCCCACCAGCCAGGACATCTTAGAGGTCACCTCCCAGCAGCTGAGGACAAAGGTCAGGCCTCTTTTTTGACAAGACTAAATTTTTGCCCCTTGCACTCTTGCACACACAGAAGCACACAAAGGAGAAAATGAAAATAAAACGTCCCCGGGTGGGTCCGTACCACCCTCTTCCTGGGCTGGCTGGAAGTTCCTTATCTCTTTTTTTCCTGATTTCTGTAGAAATTCCCTGGAACTAATGCCTATTGTATGTACCTGATTACAAAGTAAAAGGTTTTATAGAACATTCTTCTTCTCAGGAAAAGGAGGCACCCTGCCTTTTTCTCAGTGAGAGAGAAATGTTCCCTTGAATAATTTTTTAATTTGCTAAAAAACTTTTGATTCTATTGCTAGGGGGATGCAACCTTCCCGCAGAGAGGCTCGCGGATAATGTTGTTTTAATATTTGCGCTGCTTGAAAGCGAGGCCTGCCGGGCCCAGGGAGCCGCGCCGTGGGCATTTGTGAAAGGACTCCCCGCTTTTCACCAAGGAGACGAAAGCGGGTCCCCAGGCTGGGCAGGCCCAGCCTCCTCCCTCCCCAAGACCCCGGGAGCCCGGCCACGTCTCCCACACGGAGACCAGCCTGCCGTTTACTGCAAAATGCATCATCCTTACCCCACAGAGACGCTGCCGTTGTTCGTTTTTCCTGGGCCTGTAAAACGTCAAGCATTTCAAGGTGAGCAGAGTTTTGATGGCTCTGTGCACACAGCACCTGAGACTGTGGCTCTTATTGTCACCTGCGGGGCAGAGGGCTGCGTCCAAACGGTGGTATTTTGGGCCTGAAGCTCCATCCCAGTGGGGCTGTTCCTAGCATTGGCTTTCTAAACTCTCAGCGCCAGGGACGTCTGACCCCTTGAGACAGCAGGTGAGCCTGTGGTCCAGGCTCGGAATTCCCAGGTACCTCCTTTATCCCGGGGGGCTCCTGAGGATAGCGTCAGAAGCTGCTGGTGCCCCAGCCTGGCACACGCGGCCACCCCAACCCCGGGACAGCACCAGGCCCTGACCTTTGCAGAGAATAGGGTGTCCCCCTGCAAAGGCGGCAGGCCCGGGGGTGGAGGAGGCGGATGTTCTGGGGCAGGAGGAAGCCCTGGCTGACGACCAGGCTGTGCAGGAGGCTGTGGGCCTCCTGGGCCTCCTGGCGGCTCAGCCCTGCTGTGACGGGGACCGGTGTGAGGGCGTCCATGTGTTCTGCGAGCACCTCCCCTCGTGCCCGCACTGCTGGAAGCCTCTTCTGTGGACCTTCTCTCCTGATTCTCCCAACAACCCTGCCAGGCTGGTTCTTTCACTGCCCACGTTTGCAGCTGGGGAAACTGAGGCACGGAGGGGGCTGTAACTTGCCCAAGAGCACACAAGGCAAGGAGGTGCTAAGGTCAGGATTTGGACCTAAACGCCTCCTCACTTCACCCCAGTGAGTGTGGGTCTCTGCAGGGCCAGCCTGTCCCCTGGGGAGGGGCCAGGTGCTGACCCGGCGCTGGGTGAGGGTGACCAGCTGGAAGGCCACCCCCTTGGTCTTCTCTCCCAACCGAAGCAGCCTGGTGTCTCTGGTCCCCGACACCAGGGGGCAGGGCGAGACAGGAGAAAGGGCAGCGGGCGCTTGCAGGCAGCGCGGCCTCCCGGTCAGGACAGCGGCCGGCCCTGCCTCCCAGGCGGCCCTGGCGGAGGGAGCCCGGGCGTGGGTGGGCGCTGAGGGGCAGAGGAAGTGGCTCCTTTTCTAACCGCCCGCCAGGACCCTCCACCTGGCGCAAGCAGCAGGTGCCTCTGTGGGATACGTGAACTCCCGGCTTCTCAGGCGTCCAACGCCTTGGCAAGCGCCGGGGAGTGGAATCGGCGTATCGAAAAATGCACTGGCGGGAAGCGCGGCTGCTTCCAGCGAGGGGCTCATCACGCAGGGAGCTCGCCCGCCCGGCTGCCCCGTGCTGGGAGACCCGAGCTCCGTGCCCGCTGCTGTCTGGTCTGGAAACTGTTAATCCCGAGTGACCACCACTCCCTCCATTCCTCCCCAGCCGTGTCTGAGCCGGGGAGGGGTCTGAGTGTGTCCTGTGGGTGCTGCGTGGTGGGTGCCACGCTGCTGTGCAGGGCTTTGCCCCACGGGGCCTCCTGGGTGGAGCATGTCTTGTCCTAAACACAACACGTGCTGCCTGGGGGACCTGCCCCTGTGCCGTGTGTGGGAGCCCAGCCCCTCTGCTGGGTCCCTCAGGGGTCTTCTACGATGGGACCTTGCCACCGAGGGGCCACACCCCGGCCCCCAGACCACTGAAACGGGCGGCCCAGCAAGGATCAGGGTGCAGGCTGGGGCGTCAGGCTTTCCCTCTGTTCTGCACTCACACCTCCTTGGGCGTTTCTAGACAGTGCCTCATCTCTCCTGGGGTCACCAGCTCACCATGTGGAGGGAGGTCAGGCATCCGCTGGGCCAAGTCCCTCCTTTGCAGGTGAGGAGACTGAGGCCCAGTCCTGGTGTCTGTCATCTGTGTTCTGTCTCCTGTGGCTGGGGGCAGGGGGGAGCTGCTCACCTGCTTGTCCCCTCTGCTCCCTGGCCTGAGTCACTGTCTGCAGCCAGCAGGAGAGGACCCCGCTGGTGAGTTTGCGTTGCTATGGCGACGTTGGTCAGGAGGAAACAGACAGGGCCCTTCGCAAGACCAAGTGTGCCCACATGTGTGACCCAGCATTATTCTGGATGTTTCTGCTGGGGGCGGGGGTGGGGTACAGCTGAGACTGACACTGGAGTGGGCAGACTTTGGGGGAAGCAGGTGGGCCTTGCCCAGCCAAGTGACGACCTTCGGAGAGCCAGACACTGACCTGCCACGCAAGGAGACTTGGGCGTGACCCTCAGCACGGGCCCTTCCCGGTCTCCAGCCTGCCGGCCGCCCTGACCGCACGAGCCGATTCCTTGCACACACCTCTCTGTGTGCACAGACAGGCCCCAGCCTCCGTGAAGGTCCCACCTACAGTCTTTTGGCTCTGGGTTGGTGTTTCAGCTGTGTCCCCTGATGGGGAGTCCGCAGGCAGCCCCCCGCTTCTCACTGCTGGTGCAGCGTGCGACGGGCTGCAAGGCATTCAGCACGCTCTGGCGAAACAGGCTTCGCGCCAGGCGGGTGTGCCCAGCCGCAGGCCAGCGCAAGTGTCCCGAGCACGGTAAAGGCAGGCGAGGCTCAGCCGTGGTGTTCAGCAGGTCGGGTGTGCCAAACGCGTTTCCGACTCACGGTGCTTTCAGTTTAGGATGAGTTTATGGGGTGCAGCCCCGTGGTAACCCGGGGGGCGTCTGTGCACACATCCTGCCGGCTCCGCTTCTCTGGGAAGCCTCGCAGACCAGGCGGAGAGGCGGGCGCTGGGGAAGGGCTGAGAAGCAGCCGCGGCAGAGCTCTCCAGCGGCCCCCGACTCAGCTGGGCCCTGCGCGGGGACATCAGCACTGCGGCTGGGTGTGGGCGTGCCACCTCACCGTCAGGAGGAAGGAGTAGGTCCTTGGACCATGTCAGTGACAGCTGTGTCGGGCGACCTCGCCAGACCAGGAAAACTTCACTGCGCAGCATGCATGTCCCTTGCCCTGTCCCGGGGCCTGGGGTCCCCCTTCCTGTCTAACCCCGAGACAGGCCTGTAGTTTTCCCAGCGTTGTTCCGGCTACGGCCCCTCAGTCCTGCTCCGGCGCCGGCCATGGCACCCCAGCTCCTTCCCCAGACCCTCCGATGCCCCGCGTGGCGCTGCGGCGGTCACAGGCATCCCCGACTCACAGATGCCCCCAGCGAGGGAGAGGACGAGAGAATCTTGACTCTGGCGGTTCCTGGAGGGTCTGTCGGCCCCTCCCTCCCACAGGGCCCGACCGACAGCTGCCCACGTGCCCAGCCTGCAGTGACCCTCCCCATCCCGAGAAGTCAGGCACGTGCCTCTCTCTCCCCCGCCAGAAGGCTGGAGCGTCTGCCGTCTGCTCGCTGACACCACCCCTGCCTCCCAGAACCT